GAACTGTAAGCTCAGCCACCATTTCGGGACTTACACGTGTTCGCGGCCATTTTAACTCCCGAACAATGAATTGCCGATGAATGTCTGGAACTAAAATCGGACACTCGAACAGGCGAACACCGCTGAGACCTCCATACCTTCGGGAAAATATCACCAAATCTACCGAACGACCGGGCGTTCGGTAGAAAGCATTAACAGCAGATGGGGATTTCAGCGAACCCAGGATGGGATACGGATGGCCGGCCGTTCGGGAGTTTTTACCCACGTTCTTAGACCGACTGCAGGGCCAGCATTCATGGAACTGTTTTCGGCTACTGTACCCGTGCAGTCGGTCAAAACTTCTAAGTCCCATATCTCCCGAACGGCTGAACCGAATGGGCTGATTTTTAAATATGTTAGTACCATAAATATAGAAAAACTAGTGACGGTGCACTCAGACTTGTAAATTAATAACTAAGAAGGCTAACGCCTATCTAAGAATAAATATGGGGATTTAGTTCCACCATATGGCCATATGATGTTAAGCCCACTACTACTTCAAAGTACTCCAATATCAGTGGGTCCTACGCTAATAACAAAAATGTGGGAGATAAATTAAATAGTACTAGTGCTAAACATAAGCTACAGTGTATTGAATTCATTTCTTTGTAAGAGCAAAGTGAGTATACAATAGTGATAAAAGCAATTAAAAACAGTGTAACAACTAAACAATTAAAGTGTTGGTGCTTGAATGAGTATACTCACATCTGCAACACGTAGGACCCACTGATATTGGGGTACTTTGAAGTAGTAGTGGGCTTAACATCATATGGCCATATGGTGGAACTAAATCCCCATATTTATTCTTAGATAGGCGTTAGCCTTCTTAGTTATTAATTTACAAGTCTGAGTGCGCCGTAACTAGTTTTTCTGTATGAATTTTGGTCACCGCGGCAGCACCTTTCATGTATACGGGTGTGCCCCCAATCTCTCCTTTGTGCAAGTACCATAAATATAAGCTATCTGGGGATCATCCAAACTTTGGGGAAAAACTGTTCCTTTTTAATTATGTTATGTGGTTATCTGAGGGGAGGGAATTTACCGAATGTATATTGCATGGATTGGTTACTCTGCTAATTATGTGGGTGTCTCCCTTGCATGGGCAGAATCTCATAAAAGCAGAGTGTGTGTCATTAAACATTAGTTCTTCTTGACCCTTCAAAACGTAGCCTTGTCTCGTTCTTGAAAGGGGAATCTCTGCAGCTTAATCACTTAGCTCTTTTCAGAGCTGTACCTGGCTTCCACTCCTGATCCAGCAGAAGGGAATAGGCGACTTCATCACTACACAGCGACTGCCAGGGAGAAAAGGACGTCCCTAACAGCTGGTACCCTCTCTACACCAGGGTAGCCGTTACATTGGTGGCAGCGGTGGGATGGTCCTTTCATCCACAGCGCAGATGCG